AGTACCATTTTAGGAATTGGATCTCATGTAGATCTATTTTTCCTCCACAGCCAGGAGAGATGTTCTATTTTACTGCGGTTCTACTCAAACCATTTAGTGTTCTTATCTTAGCAAATTAAAGTTCCAACACATTTAAGATATTAAAAATCATCCAAAGCTTTGTGACACCTAGTAAACTATTTTCACGCCGAAGAGGACCTACGTTGAGATGTCAATCTGGCTAGGTTGATTCAGGCTCTGTTAGGAATGAAATAGGCAAGCAGGTAGCAAACACTCTTCTTTGGGTTTTGCATATATATGCATATACATATATACACACATATACGTATGTCTACAATACTTGGCCTTAGCATGGACCATGTGCACAGCAGGTGCTGACTTTCCAAGTCCCTGCTCCATGTGGTGATCGCCGGTGTACTCACCTGGCCAGAGTCCCAGCCAAGGTCCCCACATGGTGTTCACCTGGCCTTTCCCCAGGATGAATCTCAGGATGGTGCTGGAGGCCACCGAGCCCAGACCCTGGTGCCTGGCAGGCTGACGGGAGCAGCGCCAAGCAAAGAAGCCAGCAGCTCCTGGAAGCCACAGAGAACAGCGTTAGTGAAGCAAGCCTCCTGGCCCAGGCCGCCACTCCCAGTCCAGCAAACAGTTGCTGTGACAGGGATGGGCGCATCCCCTTCTGCTTGGGGTAAATCTCCCCCTGTACTGCTTTTGCATATGGATTTCCTGATGGAATACCCTGAGCACAGTGCCAGGAGTAAACCTCTGACACACAGCCCCCAAAGTCAAAAGAAACTTTAAAACTGGAGGGCTTCCAGAAAGTGCCCTGAGAAGGGAATCTGGTGGGGGCCGTCACTCACCAGCAGGTAGACAGGGGGGCTCTGCCTGAGGTCAGGACCTGCACTGGCCCTGTCTTCACTCCTTCTGTCTTCCAGGATTTGTGCAGGCCATGGGGGACCCAGCACCTGGAACATGAAGGAAAGGGCCCTGGGTTGAGTGAGTGCAAGAGGAAGCCTCAGTTTCGGCTGTGAGTGGCTGTATTTTAGCTATCTCTGCTCCACATACTTTTTAAAAATAGTTTTCTATGAAAAACACTCTGATTTGCCAAGTTGTTCATCATACATTTGTTCTAGCACCACCAGAACGACCTTCCTCCACCAAGACCCTCAGTTTCCCTCCCCACGCAGAGCTGCTGAGAGAGCCTCCATTTCTGCTCCAGCCTCAGGGAGCAGGCCCATGGTCAGGCAAGCTCATCCTACAGTTTTGACTTCCAGCAAAATTCTGGGCCTTTTTCAGATTAACAGGGAGTTAGCCACTGTCCATGCAAATATTCTGCCCTAGAGCTTGGGCTCATGGAGGGCTGAGAAAATGGGCAATACCTAGGGCAAATAGCCAGACAGGCACCTGCCAAGAACCCAATTTCCATTTGAAAGGCTCTGCAGGAAACCCTGCTTACCTTTAAAGTCTGCAGCCCCTGTAAAACAAGAGTGGTTTCCCTACATTCCTTCCCACTTGCAGACTTTCTTTTGTTTCCTCTGCTACTTTGTGTTCTTTGGTACTTATGCTTTACTTTGAAATTGTTTTAATGGAAATTTTGTAGTTTACCATACTATGAAAAATGTTGATGTATGCACATAATTTCAACACCACATAACACATCACCAGTGCAATCCCTCCCTATCTCTCTTTTTTCTTTCCCTCCCTAGTTTCTAGTAAATGAGACTATTAGCTAGTAGGCTAACAAACTGAGACTCTCTACTTTCCAACAATGAGTCTGAGTGTCCTGATTTGCTCGAGCGGGCCCAGTAACGTCCCCATTGGAGATTTTGTTGTTACTGTGTTTGGCATATCGAATACGTCACGGGTAGCTTGCCAGGCTCTGCCGTGTGGGCAAGATACTCTTGGTAGCTTGCCGGGCTCTCCGAGAGGGGCAGAGGAATCGAACTCGGGTCTGCCATTTTGGCTGCATGCAAGGCAAATGCCCTATCGCTGTGCTATCGCTCCAGCCCAACCAAACTTTAAGAACTGGCAAATGGTAATGCTCAGAAAATACTAAGAGCCAGTAGAATGATGACGCTACGCCATTTTGCCATCAGAAAATTAACCCCCCTGAATAGGACAAAATAGATTCAAACGCCCCTCCTTGTTTACACGTAGAATAAAACAGAATCGACCAGCCCCTCTCATTTTCGTTTTCTTTTTATGCCTTTTGACCTCAGGAGCCCGAAGTGCATTGCGCTTTTGGCTCTGCTTGGGACCTGCGTGGGCGAGCGCCCGGGGTGGGATGGTGGGATGCGGGGATGCGGGAATGCTGCCGGATGGCCTCCCCAGAGCATCCTGCCCTGCCCCCACCCACCTCCCATGCTCCAACGTCACAGGCGCGGGGCAGGACCTGGGCCTGGGGCCAAGCCAACAGCCGTAGAGGCACTATGCCAGCAGCCAGCGGGTGGGGCGTGCTCACCCTCCGGCAGGGGGCGCAGCCGCTCAGTGTTTGCCCAGCTGTCAAGGACAACACGAAAGATGGCTGGCAGAGAAGCACTTCCTGGGTCACTGGTCAGCGGGAACAACCACTTCCGGGCACGGCCCAGGAGGGGCGTACGGGCTCAGCCCGCTTTCCGAGGGGCGACCGAACTGAGGCCCTTCGATTTCCGGATACAAATAAGGGCTAGGGCGAGTCTAGTACAAAGCGCCCGGCTGGTCCCTCATCAATCACCCACACGCCAGGGGTGCGTGGGTACGGGCGGTCCAGCAGCCAAGCCCCCAACGCTTTTGCGAGTGGGCGTGCAGCGTGAACTCGGCACAAAGTCTCGAGGGCCGCCCCTCATGGCCACGCCCCCCATTGCCACCCCTTTTCCCTTCTGGACGTATCCGAGGAGGCAAGCGGCGCGGGCGGGTCCTCGTGGAGGGTCGGCCAGCCCCGCCTTCCACGTGCGGGCACGGAGGCCGGCTGCAAGGGGACAGAAGGGATCCGAGCTCCTATTGGCCGGGCGGAGCGCGGGAGCTGCGATGGGCGGGGGCGCTCTTGAGTGGCGGCCCAGCGGCCCCGCACTAGGCCGTTTTCGTTGAGGAAAGGGACTCCAGGTAGGGCTTAAAGCGCAGCCCTGGTGGGCTCCGGGCGGTCACAGAAAGGCAGCTAAGGCGCCCCTAGCCCCAGCGCCCCCAGCCCCGGTTCCCCTTGAACACGTCAGCCCAGCCCGGGAGTCGGCGACACGGCCTGGGGCTTCGGGCACACGCCCCAAACGTTCCGCCCCGGATCCCGGGGCTCCACCGACGGGCCGGCGGCCCCTGCACCCCGGGGAGCCCCAGGCACCTGCTCTGGGCGCGTGGCTACAGCGACACACTGGCACCCAGCGGTGTGTGTGTGTGTGTGTGTGTGTGTGTGTGTGTGCACGTATGCATGATGTAAAGAGTTCAGGATTGTTGCAGGATGGCAGTTTGCAGGATTGCATGGTGAGAGGGATGTGTGTATGTGTGTGTGTATGTGTGTGCATGCATGTGCACATATGCACGATGGAAAGAGTTCAGGATTGTTGCAGGATGGCCGTTTGCAGGATTGCATGGTGAAGCGCCCTAGGGAGAGGAGTGTGTGTGTGCGTGCACGCTCGCGTGCATGTGTGCACAATGGAAAGAGTTCAGGATTGGGGTGTGTGTATGTGTGCACGTATGCACAAAGGAAAGAGTTCAGGATGTTTGCGGGATTGCATGGTGCAGCGCCCTGGGGGGGGGGGGGTGGTGCGCGCTCGTGAACATATGCACAATGGAAAGAGTTCGGGATTGTTGCAGCATGGCGGTTAGCAGGATTGCATGGTGCAGCACCCCGGGGAGGGGTGTGTATCTGTATCTGTGTGTGTTCATAAACACAATGGAAAGAGTTCAGGATTGTGTGTGTGTGTGTGTGTGCATGTATGCACCATGGAAAGAGTTCAGGATAGTTGCAGGATGGTAGTTTGCAGGATTGCATGGTACAATGCCCCAGGGAGGTGTGTGTTTGTGTATGTACAATGGAAAGAGTTCAGGATTGGTGTGTGTGTGTGTGTGTGTGTGTGTGCACGCGCGCACAATGGAAAGCCTTCAGGATTGTCCCAGGATGGCAGTTTGCAGGATTGCATGGTGAAGTGCCCTGGGGACGGTGTGTGTGATTGTGTGAGTGTTTGTGTGTGCATGTAAAAACAATGGAAAGAGTTCAGGATTTGCTGCAGATGGGCAGTTTGCAGGGTTGCATGGTGCAGCACTGTATCTACATAGATTATGTAGATACAGCCTCACCCTGGCCAGGCCTGGGAGTCAGGTGCCTCTGTTTCAAGTCTGCTAAAGATCAACGTTTCTATCAAGACAGTAATATCAAGCTTTAGGACTGCTGCCCCCACCGACCCCTGTGCTGTTGGCAAACTGGGATGCGATCCTTTGGGATCTACAGGAATTCGGATCTCTGCAGATGTTACTTTTTTTGTCATCTGGAATTCTGATCTCAGCAGATGTTATTTTTCTCTACCCTCTCTCCAACGCCCCCCAAAGTTCCATAAAAATCTAGGGAAAATAATAAAATAAGAACGGGGGGGGGGGCAAATACATTGAGCCTTATTCGTGTTTCTGGTCAAGGAATAAAGAATATAAAAATTAGCACCAATATAGCCATAGCAGATGCATCCTCAGGGGTCAGTTACGGGTCTGTTGTAGCTTTGTGTCTCTCGTGACACTATTGGGTCCAGGTGAGAGAGGAGAAAGAAAATTTTCCCTGCAAAGGGGTGTGTGTGTGTGTGTGTGTGTGTGTGTGTGTGTCTGTGTTTGTGTGTGTGTGTGTGGAAGGGCAAGGAGTTGGCAGCTGGGGGCTTCCCAAAGAGTCTTAGTTATTAATTGGGCAGCCTGGGGATGATATTCCCCTGGGGATGACATTCCCCTGGCGATGACAGCTTGTAGCAAAAGATCCCAGTTTCAGAAACGATCCCAGCTTACCGAAGCCTCTGTTTTTTTTGGTCTGTTTGTTTTCTGTTGCCGCTTCCACAGTTACAATGAAGCACATCAATTTGTCCTTTGCCGCCTGTGGGTTCCTGGGCATCTACCACTTGGGGGCAGCGTCTGCCCTTTGCAAGCACGGCAGGAAGCTGCTGAAGGATGTGAAGGCCTTCGCGGGCGCCTCTGCGGGCTCCTTGGTGTCCACGGTCCTGCTGACAGCACCGCAAAAATTAGAGGTAATTCAGTAGAAACGAAGGCTGCTCCTGGCCTGGACATTCAGAATGGAGGACAGAAACCTCCTCTTGCAGGAAAACAGGCCAGCAAACTCCCTCCCCCCCCCCCCCATCCCCCGGGCTGAGCATCAGGCTCAGCCTCAGAGTGTTTGAGTTACATGGCAGAAGTCCGGATTCAGTTCCTGCCCACAGCCCCACAACCACACACACACACACACACACACAATGATACACATAGGCACACAGACATAGACGTATGCACAGACACACAGAAGTGCACAGAGATACAGACACACATAGAAATACACAGAGACATATACACAGACTCGCACACAGACACATATGTAGAAATAAACAGTCACACACTAATACAGAGACACACAGATGTACACACAGAGACAGACACAGCATATAGAAATGCACAGACATACACAGACACACACTTAGAAATACAGAGAGACACAGACACAGATTCACACAGACACATAGGAATACACTGACACACACAGACACAGAAATCGTTCCCATCCCTTTTTAGGGTGGCGAGGGCTTCAGAATGAGGGAGGAAACAGCAGAAAAAAGTGCTAGATTAGACGAGAGATGTTTCCTGGGTTCCCCACGTCTGGGCCAGCCGGGGCTGGAACGGTTTCAGAACCCAGGGGGTGAGGGGTGGAGACTGGAGGTCGGAGAAGCCTGCTCGCCCAGGCCCAGAGCAGGGTGGCAGAGTCAGAAGTTGGGGGTACAGCCATATGGGGCGGGGGGAGGGTGCAGGGTGCAGGTGCTTTTCACAGAGAACTCAACTCTGCATCCAGAACCCCACGCATCTGTCTGGACACCCCCTGCCCTGCAGGCAGTGACTCTTCATGATCTCTCAGGAATGTAAAGCGTTCACCTACACGTTTGCTGAAGAAATCTGCGGGCAGTCCTTCGGGGCCATGATTCCCAGCTACGACTTCATGGCCCGACTCAGGTCAGTGGCCCCCACAGCCTGCCCTGCTCCGCCCCTCCCAGCCCACTTTCTGCCAGGGCCCTGCCTGGGCTGCCTGCAGGCCTGCGGGCGTGCGGGGTGCTCACGCAGCACCCGTTTGTGCCCTGCAGGTGTGGGATGGAGTCCATCCTCCCCGCCAAAGCCCACCAGCTGGCCCACCGCCGACTGCACGTGTTCATCACCAACACCAGGACCAGGCAAAACTACTTGGTGTCCAGCTTCAGCTCCCGGGAGGACCTCATCAAGGTCGGCGGTGCCCGCACTGGCTCCTGACGCCTCTGCCCAGAGCTCGGCCACCCTCCCTGTGCCCCGGCCTCACCCGGGTCCTGTTGGCTCACTGTCCTCACGTGCGTGGGACACACCGTCCTGCTATAGCTCACTGTCCCCACGTGTGTGGTACACACTGTCTTGCTATATATAGTTCACTGTTCCCCCGTGCGTGGTACACACTATCCTGCTATAGCTCACTGTCCTCGCATGTGTGTATACACTGTCCTGCTGTAGTTTACTGTCCCCACGTGTGTGTATATGCCATCCTGCTATAGCTCACTGGCCCCACGTGCATGGTACACACTGTCCTACTACAGCTCATTGTCCCCACGTGTGTGGTCCACACTATCCTACTATAGCTCACTGTGCCCGCATGTGTGTATACGTCGTCCTGCTATAGCTTACTGTCCCCGCGTGTGTATATACACCATCCTGCTATAGCTTCACTCTCCCCGTGTGCATGGTACACACAGTTCATGCACACATGGAGACATGCAGGCAAGGGCACGCATGGAGAGTTTGTCTGGGAAGAGCCATGGGGAACGGGCTGCGATGAGTGGGGGCAGCAGACGCTTGGATGTGGCCTCGGGTGTCACCTACAGCTGCTCCTGTGCACGAAGGCTGTGACCGCAGCTGCCCAAGGAAACGGACGCCCAGGAGAAATGAGTCCATGACTTCCTAGGTTCCAGCATCACTCAGCACCCCTCAGGCCTAGGCTCCTTCTACTCTGGCGTCCCACCTTAGAGAAACACGTGTCCCCATCCTCTTCTTACCATCAGCTGTGGACAGGCAAACTGCAAAAGGAAAACCTGCCCAGCCATGCCCGATTCGTCGCTGCAGAGCAAAACTCAGAACGGGGGATGAGCCCCCAGAGGGACAGTCAGAGTGGCTCATCTGAGCTCGGGGCCAGCCGCTGAATTTCCTGGATTCCGGGGACGCCCATGGGTGGCTGGGAGCACGTCCAGCTGCTGGAGTGGCCTGCACAGTCTCTCCCTCCCCAGAGCTCGGGCCTCTTGGCCACAACACCCCGCATTTCCTGACCCCCCACCAGAAGCTCTTTGCTGCACCTGTGTCTCATTGGGCCAGCGAAGGGGAAAACACAGCCAGTGTGCATCGGCCACGGCCATCTTGGGACCCTGGGGAGATGTTCCAAGGTGCTGCGAACTTGGCCCACGAGGTACCAGGGGCTCCAGATCTGCCAGCCTGCATGAGATGAACAGGGCCCGGAGTGATGGTCCAGCGGGGAGGGCCTGTGCCTTGCATGAGGCACCTGGGTTCTATTCCCAGAGCCCCATAGCGTATGCCAAGCCCACCGGGAGTCACTCGAGCACCTCTTCAGGCAGGTGACATTGCAGTGCTCGCTTTTAGTCCAGTTCCTTTTGCCTCCTTCATGTGGCACGCCACCCTCCTACTGCCAAATGCCAGCTCCCGCTGGCTGGCCTGAGGTCAGAGAACGAGGGCATGTGCGGGCCCCGAGGCTCACCCGCCATCTTCTCTCTGCCCACCCAGGTGCTGCTGGCTAGCAGCTTTGTGCCCATCTACACTGGGCTGACACTGGTTAAGTACAAAGGGCAGGCAGGTGCTTCCCTGGCAAGGACTGGGAGGTCCCGACAGTGCTTGGCCTTGGGAAGTCAAGCACAAGAAGTATTTGCATGAGAAGTCAGCCAGCGGTATGCGGTTTCCTCCAGGAATAGTGTGGTTTTTGTTTGATCACTTGATCACTTGACCTCCCGTTAATCGTCGATTTTCTCAAGCGGGCGCCAGTAACTTCTCCATTTGTCCCTGTCGTGTGCTAGTGTAGCCCAATGGTGTCTGTTCGTTCTAGGAACACGAAGAGCCTCAAACCGATCGTTCAGGATGTTGATGAAGAAGTCTGACCATCTGGTAGGTGGGCGGCCACGCGGTCTTTTGACGTCCCATGGAATCCAGTCAGTAATGGCTCTAGTCCAGTGGTCATCTCCAAATCTCATTACGTGTCCAGACCATCTGATTTTTGACGCCTTGGCAAACGAGAGAGCCTCCCTGATTCTTGATCTTCGACGGAGGTCAGAACTCTGGATTCTTTCCCTCATTTGAGTGAAACGTGATACTCCAAGCATAGCTCTTTCAAGATTCCTCTTTGGGAGACCGGAATAGTGGTCTCATCCTGTTTGTGTAGGGCCCAGGTCTCTGAGGCATATGTTAATGCAGGAAGAACAGTGGAATCAAAGAGATGTGCCCGGAGCTGGAGGTTCTTTGTCCTCTTAGCTATTTCTTCGATGCTTTTGAAGGCGTTCCAAGCCGCTCTCTTCCTCCTGCGCAACTCAGGTGCCAGGTCATTTGGCATGTTGACTTCTTCACCTAGGTACACATAACTGTTGCATTCAGAGATGGTTGTTCCATTGAGAGTCAATGGAGCGTCAGGAACGAGGCTGCTTCTGATAAACATTGTCTTTGTAAGATGTAGCTATAGTCCAACCTTTCCACACCACGGTCCAAGCCCTCCACTACCTCCACTACCCAGCCACCACCACGCTCCAGGACACTTTCTGGACCATGCAGCTGCGAAGCGGCCATGTGACACATTATAAGACACTTAATATCCATCTTCCAGAATTGCCGTACCATATTTGATAGGGTTCAAATATGGTTTGAACCATGGGAACACCTAAAAGGGTGATTAGAGGCCGCCACAAAAGTCTATCTCGGAGAGCCTGGCAAGCTACCGAGAGCATTCTGCCCGCACGGCAGAGCCTCACAAGCTATCTGTTGTATATTCGATATGCGAATACCAGCAATTGCAATGGGTCTCATTCCCTGACCCTGAAGACGTCACCAATATGACAGTCTTGAGAAGGTTGATGAAGGAAAGGCTGATAAAATCTCAAGGCTAAACTAGGCTGCCAAAACGAAGGAAGACAAAAACGATTGTCTGTACTTTCAATGCACATATGCTAGCATCAGATGCATCCATCGAGGACCTGATGGTAAAAGCGCAAAAGATCAAGTACGACATCATTGGTCTGACCGAGACAATAAGGCATCAATCACATCATGCCATTTTTAACACTGGAGAAGAATTGTTCCTCAGAACATGTGATAAAAGAGGCGTTAGAGGCGTCGATATCCGTGGCAACACGAACTTGACCATAAGCATTGATTCATTCAAATGCCTAACGACCCGAATCAGACGTTTACACTTGAATAGATGTGGCTCAAGGCTGGCAGCTTCTATCTTTGTTATCTACTCACCAACATCCAATTATGATAAAGGAGAAAATGAGAAGTTCTACATGGAGTTGGAGAAGTTCTATAAAGAAGACCACACCTTCTACAAGATCATTGTGGGTGATTTTAATGCCAAGATAGGGCTGAGAAGATCAGCCAAAGAACTCCACATCAGGACCCATGGCCTAGAATGGAACGAACAGGGTGAGAGAGACTGTCTGAGTTCATCATGTCGACCAAGACCATCCATGGTAACTCACAGTTCCAGAAGGCCGAATCTAAACGTTGGACATGGGAGTCTCCCGGTGGATGGTTCCACAACGAAATAGACCACATCATATTCAATCAACGGTGTTCCCTGATGGTGTTGCTGTTGTCCCAAAATTCCAAACAGGATTGGACCACCATCTCCTTCATGCAAAATTCTACTTTACAGAGCGGGGAGAAACGGCTGCAAAGTTTAAGAAGAGAACTCCTAGAACTAAAAGCTCTTTGGCACTAATGCTGCAACATGAGAGGATGGCATTGTTGACAACATTGACGAGGAATATGATCAACTGGTTCAGCACCTCCATGATTGTGCGAGGAATGCCAAGAGAGAGATTGTCACAAAAAGACGACTGTCTTCAAAAGCTCTTGAGCTTATTCGCCAACGTGGTTTGGTGCATGCCTCAGACAACTACAAGTGAACGTCCGAGCTCGCAAAGCAGTGCAGAGATGCAATCAAGGAAGACCTCAAATAGAGAAGAGCAGAAGTGCTGGTAGATGCGGCAGAAGCCGGGAAAAGCATTCGTAATACCCGCCTGTCCTTCGCCAACTACAAGACCAAGATGACTACCCTACGATGTCCTGATGGATCTATCACATCTTCCAGAAAGGCAATGAAGAAAATTATCCATGACTTCTACTAAGATCTCTTCAATAGCCATGTCCACCTGCCCACATACCAAATTCCACAGGATGGATATGTCATTCCCAATGTTCTCCTATCCGAAATCCGACATGCCATTTCATCGGTAAAGAAACGAACAGCACCTGGCCCAGACAAGGTCAGACCTGAACACCTGAAGAACCTGCCGTCAGTACTCATCAATATACTGGCTCGGCTCTTCACACGCTACCTGTCTGAATGCAAGTTTCCGTCCCAGTGGAAAAACAGAAGGACTGTACTACTGTATAAAAAGGGAGACATCTATGACATTGGCAACTATCGCCTGATCTGTCTATTTTCCATCATCTACAAGCTGTTCACTCAAGTCACCTTGAATAGGATTGGCAGAACACTAGATAAAGGACAACCATGTGAACAAGCTGGGTTCCACAAAGGATTCAGTACCATTGACCATATCCACACATTAAACAAGCTCATTGAGGTTTCTCGGGAGTTCAAGATGCCGCTCTGTCTAACATTCATTGATTTAAAGAAGGCCTTTGATTCTGTTGAGACAGAAGCAGTCATTGAAACCCTAGCCAATCATGGCATTCAAACTCAATATGTCAGGATCCTCCGTGAGCTGTATTACAGATTCACTACCAGGATCTCAAAGAAGTAATCATTGATATCAAGAGAGGTGTTCGGCAGGGTGACACCATTTCACCGAAACTCTTCAGTGCCACCCTCGAGAACATCATGCAACAACTGGAATGTATTTCATTGTGTCTATAGATCATGGAATTTCTTGATCCGTTCCTCTGTGCATTGGGAAGACAATTCCCCAAAGAAGGCGTACAGGTGGCCGACAGGCACATGCCGTGGACATGCTTGCATCCTGGTGAGTTCTGGGATACAGCACCAGAATCGCGTTTCTGATGTAGAGTCGGTCCCAGTCTTTCTGCCTACAGGATCCAGAGCTGTCCCCTCTCATGACGAGGACGAGTTATCACAGCATGACTGAAGCCAAGACACGATCTTTACTTCTACGTCACATCCCATCTGATCTGCTATGCCCTTCCTGATTTTCTTCCCATCATTTCACTTGTTACTTCAAGTTTTGTTGGAACAAGCAATATAAAGTCAATTTGGTATGTGCTCGTGGGGAGAGCTTGGGACTGGGAGGGAAAGTGGGATTATTGGTGGAAGGAAGGTCATACTGGTGGGGTTGGAACACAAATGCTGGAAACAACTGTACAATGAGCAACTTTATAAATCACAATGTTTTTAATGAAAATCAATAATAATAATAAAAGACACGTTCTTTCTTACTGAGCTGTTGCATGGGGACAGGGTGTCACCCCATGATTTACAGAGGACAGACAGGGACATTCTGCCACCAAAACCACGGTGCCATGATTACTTGTGACCGAGTGGAGACATTACAGGTGACCACTCGAACAAATCCATGAACAACGGGATGACAAGTGACAAGTGAATCCCCTCCCTAAAGAAGGGGATTACAAATTTTTTTAAATCCCAATGTTTGGGAAGCCCGTGTTCTCTCTTGAGTATGTCTCTCTCTCTCTCTCTCTGTTTGTCCTTCTTCCTCCGTTCTTCTCCCTCTCCCCTCTCTGTTTCTCTCCCTCCTCCCCCTCTCTGTTTCTCTGTGTCTCTGTCTCTCTTCTTCCCCTCTCTGTCTCCTTCTTCATTCCCCTCTCTGCCTCTCTCTCCCACCCTCTCTTTTTGTCTCTTTCTCCCTTTCTCTCCTTCCCCTCTTTCCTCCCTCACCCCTCTCTCTTAGTCTCTCTTTCTCTCCTTCATCCTCCCCCCTCTATCTCTCTGTCTCTCTCTGTCTGTCTCTATCTCTCCCTCTTTCTCTCTTCCCTCCCTCCCCTTCCTTAAAACCTCCCAATACCATCTCTTTATTCGCTTGAATGCTGTATCCTTCTGGAATCCCTTAGAGCAGAGAAGCCTGGGGGAGCTTGAGGACTTACTTCCTTTGCTGTAGAGCTGTGGCTGGCTGAAGCCTGAGCCCGTGTCCCCCAAGAAATTGGGTGCTGGGAGTAACTCCCATGCAGCACCCAACAAGGAGACGTAGGTGTGGTCAGTCTCTGCCTAGCGGGGCTGGCAGGATGTAAGGTGAGTGCCATGCAGGGGCTCAACGCAGATGTCACCAGTTGGAGTCTTCCCAGCTGGTCCCAGGGTGGCAGAGGCTGATGGGGAGAAAGTGGCAGGTCCCCTTCTCAAGGCTTCCGTCTCTCTTCTCCAATGGACATAAGTCACCTGGGCACCCCATGGGCATCACAATCATGGGATTCTGCATCCAGTTGGGTGGACACTGGCCTGGAGAGTGAGCACTCTGGCCAGCTGATACTTCGGCCAACCTCAAAGCCCACAGGAAGTTGCTGGGCCACAAACAAAGGATCTTGCTGAGCAGAGAAGATTCCAGCAAACTTGAGCAACATCGTGCGAGATCAAAAGCTCCTGGCTCAGGTCCA